TAAAGAAAGAAGTTAACACAGTAAAATCATGTACTGCAGTCAAATCGCATCCCATGCTAGCTCATTTATTAACTTTGCTAGATTTCCTGACAGAAAGCTATTTAACACTATTATGAAGATTCATGCTACCAAGGGTAAAACAATTCTTCAGAACTTCCTATTTTGCTCTATTTTTTCAACTGTGGAACATAAATGTTATTTTCATAGATGAAAAGTTTTAATTCTCAAACTCAAAAATTTTGGTATAAAGTCAGTTTTGAATTGTTTGCAATTCTACAAAGAAAAACTATGAAAATATGCTTGGAAGCCCTCTTCAGGAAGTGTTATGTTTAGGAAACACTCAATGCAGTAGATTAACTCTCCAGTAGGCAAACTCTCCAGTGTAAGTGAAAGACTAATCTTTCTCTAACTGGTAACACTCAAGCTGTATGACATCCCGTCATGTTGATAGTGACAGCATCTGAACACATAGGATTAGTAACGATAGCAGTAATGGCATATATACAAACTGATGGTACACTACCAGCAAAACCAGACCAGACACCACTGGAATCTCCTATTCAAAAGCTGGCAACAGCAGTATTACTTGTAAGCATGCAAAATTCTTGTGCACACAAAGCTAAACGCTCGCAGGGACACTGCTCAGTATCAAATTCTGTAAACTTGAGGAGAAATTAAATGCAGTGTGCCTATGCAGCTGATACCAGTTCCTAATCAAATGTGGTAGACACGAAATCAGCTCCTCAGTAATGTAAATTATCCTTTTGAAAGTCTTTTTAGGAACCTTTTTAAGTTAATGTGTGAAGTTTTGCAGAAAATGTGTCACTTTTTCTTTGAACAAGTCTTTCTTTCATGGTACAGCACCATAAGGTAAATTATCTTTGAGGAACATAAAGCACACTCAAGTCACTCCTTCCTTTTGAATGTAGGACATCTGAAAATTGATGGAAATTTTATTGGCCTTGGGTCATAATGTTTAACAGGTTTATCTAATTTCATTCCAGAGCATTTACATAGTCATATGAATTTTCTTCTTTCTAATCATAATCATCCTTTGACTTGTTCTTACTAAGCTTATTATGCCTAGCAAAGTACAAGGAAAGGACAGATAGACTTTTGCACCCAAAACTTCAAGGAGCAACTGCAGTGTATTTCTTGAGAACAAGCAATGTGAACTTACAAACACATGAAGGTTACACTGAGAAGTTAGTTAATATCGGAGCAAACAGCTAACCCTGTTAGATTAGTTAGACCAGTTTTTTGAAAGTGGCCTCAGATTTTGTCATCTCTGCAGATCAGAAAATGCAAATATACCAGGAAAAAAAAAAAGATTAAAAATTAAAATATTTAAAAATCATCATCATCTCATCTGGCCATGGAGGAACAATAATCAGTTATGTCTGCTTATCAGAGTATTTAGAAGGCCAAAAAATAAAATCATTCAAAATCTGCCTATGGCCAACTTTGTGTGACTTTGTGTCACATTTACTTTGAATAAATTTTTGTTTTTTATTCTAAACTAGCAAGACAAACATTTGTTATTTACTGTCATGGCGAGGTAGAACTGCCATGGGCAAACCTACCAGACATGTGCCTTTATAGAAAATAAAAGAATAGGGCTGTTGGGCAATAAAGAAAGAAAGAACAGACTGGAATCCTTTAGATTCTGGAAAATTGGATGAAACATCATTTTATCATAATGACAGTTGTCACTGCCACTTTGTTTGTTCTCAAGAAAGTTCAATATTTTCTTGATACAATAGCCAAGACTGTTAAATAGATACATCTTTTCCCACTTCAGAAACATTTTTCAGGACTTTTCTTGACCTCAAGTACATACAGCAAGGCTTTTTTTCTAACTACAGAGCGTATTTAGCACAATACATACAATGGCAATCCCTGCCTAGTCTTTAAACGCAAGTTGTACAATGCTTCAGCTGTAAGATATGAATAAACCAAGAGCAGACCAGTGTGCAAATGAAGTTCAAACAGATCCTGTCATTGCTGTAATCCCTCACACACTGGTGCTTACCTGCAGGTAAGTATTTCAGCTGGTTGTTGGCCAAGCGAAGGTGACGTAGAGATCTCAGGCGGCCAATCTCTGGACACACAATTTCGAGGGCATTATCACTTAGGTCTAGAAACTGCAGTTTAACGAGGGAGCCAATAGCTTGTGAGAGAACAGATTAAAACATCAATGTGACCCAACAGTAACGTTAAAATCTTAATAGGGCTATGAGAGGATAAAAAGCCCCAGTAGCTAACACCTATGTCTAAGCACATTTTGTCACATTAAAGCCGGTCTCACAACTGAATGACATAATTTGTGGAAATGCTTATCTAACAGTCCTGCTGGCAGTGAGACAGAGAGAAGTGTACAGAATACTGCCATTTCTAGATTCTCCTCAGATGATTCTCCTCTGAAATCACTTTTTCCATTCCTTTATCCAATTTATATATTCGGGAAGAGTTTCAAGTATTTGCCTGAAGTTGGGCATGTAACTCCACAATTAAGACAAGGAAGAGAAACTAGTACAAGTTCTTAATACTTCAGGTCTCAAATCCGTCATGATCTAAACCAGCAGAGTATTCCACATGGCAAGCAGAAGACACTCTGGTTTTTTGTTTCTTTAAATGAGTGCCTTTTCACTTTCTGCAATTAGAACTGAAGCAAACAGCATTTAGGTGCATTTAAGAATTCATTAAAAGAATTTAGCATAGCATAAACAAGGATATTATCAACTAAGAGCTACACTGGTATGCTTGTATTAAAATTGTTAATGTTTTATGGGAAAACAAAGGAAAAATAGGCCTCTTCAAAAAAGGAAAATTAATATTTTATGATTGCTGCCATTTATTGTAAGCTAGTAGATTACTTACCTTCAGGTACAACAACTATGTTATTTGAATGAAGGTACCTGGGGGGAGGAGAAAAAAAAAAGCAGAGGACACCACCTGTTACCCTCAAGGACTTCTGCTACATAATCAGTTTGCAAAATATCCAGTTTCAGACTCAAAGAGCACCCTCAAAGCCATTCCTCTATGACCACAAAAGCTGTGGAAACTGTATAAACTGGCAATTGATAAGTACTTAAGTTTCACTTTAATGATTAACATAAAATTCACTATTAAATGATTAACATAAAAATAAAAGAGAATGACATACAATCATTTACAACAAAACTTTCACAGTTACAATAATAACAGGCTTTAGTTTTGAGAGTCTTAAGAGGAAACAAAAAGGAAAAACAATAACACATATAGAATAACCAAAACGAGCCATATTTGATTACCAGGTTATTCCACACTAAATGCTGGGCAAGAAAAGAAAAAAAGCTCAAACCCATACAAGTTATATGACTATAAACATTTTCCCCTACACATAAACTCTTAGCCCTTTACTGACTGAAGAAACAAGCACATGATCTATTTACTGCAAGTGGGGTTTTCAAACCTAAGAGTACATTTTTCAAAAGAAAAACCCGATCTTACAGATGGTTTTAGGTAGTTACTGCGTGGCCAGACCTCTCACTAAGAATATCCAGCACCCTCTGCTGGAGCACTTCTAGTATTACGGGTAACATAAAAAGATTTTACTTATCAATTTTCAATTTTACATATCAATTTTCAATCAATATTGCTGCAAATGAAAGAACAAGTCTTTGCAGAAAAATAACGGTAACAAATTTTCAAAGTTTGATACCCAATTGTAAAGGAATACCAAGAACTCAATGTCCAATTGCTTAGGCACACATGGAAGTTATTTGCACAGCATTATTATTTCTCCTCTATTCAGGCAGTATTTCCTATAGAAGAAGCCTGTCTTCTGGAGGAGATAGAGGCAGAACAAGGAGAAAGACAGGAACGTTTCAACTGCATGGAGCACCTGAGCCTTCTGATTTTCTTTAAAAACATTTAAAGTTTACTAAAAATGTAACAAACATATGGATAGCAGATACGTTTGTAGAAATCTGTATGCAAAACCTCAGGATGAGAATGCTCCTACTCATTTCAGCTGCAGCTCCTGAAAATACTTGTGAACTGTTTCACTCAAGCTAAATGAGCTCAATGTATGTCATGAGGATCTACACCTAATATACCAGCATGCTGGTATACAATATACAAGAAACAGACAATAATTAAGTTCTTTAAAATATGTAAGTGAAACTGCTTAAGGATACAACTTTCAAGAAAATTGGTTAAGTTTGGCTTTCAAAATTTAAGGCTACTGCAACAAGTTATTGTTTAAATAAATCTTTATTTTGTGGTCTTTTCTCTGCCAACAAAACATTTCTCACTGTCTGATCAAACATCCACTTGTACAACTAGAGCTACACAAACCACAGGCTCACTGGAGCTCTCTCCAGACCACCAGAATGTGTGGGGTAATGGTGGCACAACTAAACTTGCTGAACCCTAAATAATGAGGTTTGACTCCTACAATTCAGTGTTTGTAAGAGATGACTAAGCTGTAATTTATACAGGTTTTCCTAAAGGTACCATCAGATAATATGGAGATTTCCTGATGCCTCATGGCAAATCATTAAATACTAAGTATTTCAAATACAAATATATTTATTTTACTGTTTCAGAGCATAAACATATTCTCAGGCATGATGAGACAAGACTGTCTCTGAAGCAAGTCAAAGACTGCAGTGACCTACAAAATAGTTCAATTGTACTGTGGTCACGTGAACCAGAAAGATGTGGTTTCAAGGGCCGAATTAAGATGACAAGATCAGACATCTGAATGCATTAGACTGCTCACATACACACCTCCTCCTGTTTGGAGCTTTCCATTAAATAAACAGAATCAATGGGCCATTACTTACTCAACTGCAAGTGAGCCAAATGAGTTCAAAGGGAAAAAGGGGGTGCCCCTTTTAACATCCCCAAACCAATCCTATCACAGAAATAAGTAATAACCTTACAAGAAGAAAAGGGAAGAAAACCTTGACTGAGGGGCTTACAGCTTAAAACTGGTAGCTGAGATAAAAGAGTTCATGTGACATTCATTCTTTGGACAAGACTGGATAAACTGCTCTGCTTTATAGCAACCTCCACTAAATAGTT